CGAATCATGAAATAATGAACTTGGCTCAGAAGTAAGAAAAACATTAACAGACGCACTTTGCAAGAACACCCGTGCTGCTTCTTTTTGTCATAATGATCTTAGGTTTGAAGGAGGAAAAGCATTAGCAGATGCACTTTGCAAGACTGACTTCTTTGAATTTTGTTGGCAATGATCTTGAATCATTTAGAAGAAAAAACATTATAGATACACCTTGCAAAAATGCAATACTAACTTTCTTTGATCTTTGAAATAATAATCTTGGAAAAAGTATTAGTTGATGCACTTTGCAAAAACAGCATGTTCATAATAGTCTTGGATCATAAGGAGAGCTGATGCACTTTACAAGAACAACATAATGACTTTGTATCTTGGAGATGATTCGATTTTTAATGGTCTTAGATCAGATGCACTTTGTGAGAATACTACCTTGACTTCGTATTTTCAATGTAATAACAATATTACTACTATTATAAAATAAATCAGTATACTACGATAAAATATAATTTACATATTTATACCTGACAATTGCATAATTAAAAATTGGGCATCTTTAAAAGTTGGAAACTTCTTACCAAGGCATAATTTGGAAATTGACCGGTAACTTTGTTCTTTATAATAAGGTCTATAAAGTTACTGGTCAAAGTTCAAAGTTATGCTTCTATGATTGATTGAAGAGTTTTATAGTCTGTATCTATTCGATATTATAAAACTTTTATATTGGTATTTTTTTAAAAACAGGTGTACAGTTCACATTATTCTATACATTGCAGTGCAATTTTTTTATTATGATTATTCGAAAATTGAACATTGTATTATTGTCGAGTATAGACTACGTGCACCACTATAAAATAAACTAAATTATATAGATCCAAACGCAATTAATTTACCGTATGTATTAAGTTACGCCACTTTTAGAAAACAATACGAGTGCTGCAAAGCTAAAACCTGCATTTATTGATTTTCCGAAATCTAATTTTGCAGAAATGGGCTTATCAGACCCTGAAAAATATGATCAACACTAGAGATGTATCTCGCGCGAGATAAATCTAGCATACATTTCATATATCGCACGCGGGACTTTGTCCCGCAAGTTCTCGAGTCTCATGTGATAAAAATTCATTTTAGATTATATGCTTGAAATTTCATTAAAAATTACTTAATCGAATAGTTTATCTCGCGAAAGTCGTGCGAGATCGCGGGTGAGATAGTTTTATCGATTCGCGCGAGGTACATCTCTAATCAACACATGATATTAAGCACACCAATTAAATATTATAGTATTATATGTATTAATATAAAAAACATCGACGGTGTGTTTAATTTTCCACGAGATTAAATTTATCGAAGGTTTGATCAACCCGTTTCTGTAAAGTAATTCTACCACCATTAGAACCGGAATAACTTGCTCTATAATCTTTGTTAGAAACACAAGGAAGGTTTACTTTGCGTAAAAAAAAAAAAAACTTTTCATTTTAAGCTAGCCGCATTCCGACCCTATAAAAAATCTATATTAACTTCCGGCAATTTCTACTATTAAATTTGCTATTTTTATGTCCTTACGATTAATCGTTTAATGATAGTTTAATCCCTCATATAGAGGCAAAAAAAATATGTGCATGGTAAATAGAATGTACTGTACAGTACATTATTAATCGGATTTTATTCACACGACAAATGTGTATCGCTAGCACTTCGTGGTGTCGACTCAAAGTTTCATTAGGAACAAGTTATTTTAAAAACACTGGGTAATTAATATGTAATGAGACGTATAATTGATCGGTAAAATGCTCAATAAATGTTTAAATGACTAATAAGCGATTAAACGGATAAACGATTAACGGTCAAACAAATCAACGATTAATAAACAACTAAACTAGCTAAACGATTAATAGACGGTTAAACGACTAATAAACGGCTAAACGATTATTAATCATGTATCTTATAGTTAAGCGACACGATTTATCGCTAGCATAATTTTTCACGGTTCTAAACCCTAAATTTATATGATTAAATGTTTTCAATATTCTCTTGTCTTCATAAATATTTTATTATTATAAAGTTTAAGAAAAATTAAATTAATATTTTTACAAAGTGCTATTTTTAATGATTTTTATATTAAGATCTTGTGTAATATCGCGCCTCAGCACCAATCTTATTGCCATTAAGATCTAACGAAATTAAATTGATGTTTTTATGAAATGCTTTTACTAATGCTAACCCACCTACAGAATCGATCTTATTATAAGAAATATCTAAAGAAGTTAGAGTGGTATTTTCATAAAGAGCTTTTGCTAATGCTTTTCCACTCTCAGAATTAAGGTTATTTTTGGAAAGATCTAAAGAAATCAAAGTGGTGTTCTTACAAAGAGCATCTCCTAATGTTTTTCCACCTTCAAAACCAATATCATTATGTGAAAGGTTCAAAAAAACTAGAGTGGTATTCTTATAGAGTGCATTTGCTAATGCCTTTACTCCATCTGATCCTAGATGATTATTCTGAAGGTCCAATGACGTCAAACTAATGTTCACACAAATTGCACTTTCTAATAAAATTCCTATTCGAAAATCAAGTTGATTATAAGAAATATCTAAAGAAGTTAAGGCAGTGTTTATACATAGCGCCTTTGCAAATGCCTTTCCTCCTCCATAAAGAATACCGCTGTTTCTGATGTTTAAAGAAGTTAAGGTGGTATTTTTGTAAAGCATCTTTGCTAATGCTTTTCCGCCTATTAATGAAAGAAAATTATGATCAAGGATCAAAGATTTCAACGTAGTGTTCTTGCAAAGTGCATCCGCAAACGCTTTTCCTCCTTCAGTTGAAATCTTGTTATTGCTAAGGTCCAAAGTAGTTAAAGAAATGTTTATATGAAGTGCTTCTGCTAATGCCTTTCCACCTTCATCACCAATTTCATTACCCTTTAGATCTAATGATCTAAGGGCATTGTTTAGTTTGAGTGCCTCGGCCATTGCTTTCCCTCCCGAATCACCGAGATTATTAGCGCCAAGGCTCAATGACGCTAAAGTGGTGTTTATACGAAGTGCTCTTGCCAATATCTCTCCCATTGATCCCGAATAATTATGGGAGAGATTTAATGAAATTAGTGTAGTGTTCTTGCAAAGAGCTTCTGCCACGGAATTGAAGAGATCTTCAGCAGATTCCTGGCATTCCGCGGAATCGTAGAGGCTTAGTGAAGTCAAGGTAGTGTTGTTGGTAAGGGCTTCTTTTAATGCTGTTACTCCTTTAGAACAAAATCTATTATTAGAAAGTTCTAAATTTGTAACAGCATCGTTTCTACAAAAATTTTCAATTATTTGCTCATAGATGATTCCATTGATTTGTAAATATTTAAGATTTTTACTTGTTCGTAGAAACATTGTAATCAAAGAACATCTAAGAGCATTTTGAAGCCCATTACCAACATATTCAAGATTACTATCATCGTAGTAATCCAGCCAATCTACGACTCCGAGGTTTATGAGGTCGCTGATTGATATAGTATGACTCATATATTCAAATAATGGTCTTGGATAATTTGGAAGGATAAGATTAAAAGGAATTAATAATGCTTGTTCTTCAGCATTTAACGTTAAAAGGCATGTCCTTATAAGCCTTCCATCATATAAATGGTTGTCCATGTTTCTCCATAAGATCGGTACGACAATTCGACACCAGCGACGGCATACAAGAAGGCACGAGAATAAAAATGTATATTGAAATTTATTAAATATTTCGAGAAGGCACTCATTTGGTAATTTTTCAATCATTTTAAAAAATAAGTTGATTTTTTTGGTATAAAAATTCAAGTTGGTAAATTTAAAAAAAATAACTACGCGAGGAATCAAATTTTTCTGCGCAATCATTTTGATATTGACATTATATAATAATGTGATAATCTAGCATTCGGAAAATTTGCTCCACTATCGATTAGCGTTAGCGTGTGCAGGGAACTGAAGAAATTAACTACTTAACATCACCAACATATAAAATTGCGGCAAAAAAAAAATTTGCAGCCAAATTAGGGTTGGAGTTTACTATCAAGCTAGGTTAGAAAAGACTTCATTAATATCAAATTTTCGCAAGGAAACCTTTTTGTTAGTGCGCAAAAGGCGGTATCATAGGTAAAATGTTGAGTTATAAACGATGTTTGTTACATATGATCTTGAAATCTGTGTTGCTGGAAAAATTTTTTAGGATAGGATGGTTGAAATTAACGGCAAATATCTTAAATCAAGAAAAAAAAGAAACAAGATAAATTTAGAACCATTACAGTCATATAGTCATACTTCCTGAGTGTATGCTCTGGGGATCAGATACAAGTTTGCACTTAGATAGGATCTGCATTTATAGAATTATCTTTTGACTGTATGCTTTAAGAACTAGATATAAGTTTGCACTTAATGGAAGTGTAAATTTTTTAAAAAATCACGTGTGTAGTTACATATATATATTCACCCTAACATTCTGTGCCAACCATTTGGTCTGCATTAAATAGATTTCGAAGTTAGAATTAGTTTAAGGTAATGTTAAAGTGAATTCTGAACGATATTTCTAAAATTATGAAAGGATTTTTTTTTTTTTTTATTAGAGTACGAACGTAGTTTTATATGCAAAATCTTATAAAGTATAAAAATTTTTTTCGATCATGATCGGCACAGAATGTTGGAGTGTCACATATTGTCACGGGCTAAATGGTACGTACTAAACAAGTACGAAAACAAAAAAATATAGCGTTCGCCAGAGAAGTGACGTGAATGACTTGAATGAAAGCTTTAGACTTAATGATAAGTGTTTATTGATTATTAATTACATTAATCATACTTATTATCTGGTTTTTAGCCCAAAGGTTCTCTAACTTTACAAAAGACGAAACTATGACCCTTTTATACCTTTTCAGCATAATAATTTATCGTTCAATTGATATTATTGAAGGTCTTACAATATCCCTAAGGAAAAGGGGCGCTAATTCCATCTGAACTCTTAAAACTTACGATATTTTTAAATAATAGGGCTTTAATGATTAATTCAGTAGAGATAATCATACGTTTTCTCTTCTCTATGTTATTTTGATCCCGTAACTAAGTTTTCTTTCGTCACATTTAGTGATGTGCCATTTATATGATACCCGAATTTTTTTCACGTACAGCGCGTATCTAACGATTTGATTGGCTGGTAGAAAGGATCGGCGAAAAATTTTTGCGTACAGTATAGTACTGTACGCGGCACATCACTAGTTACACTACCACGCGAAATAAGAAAGCACTTTAGTTCGCGTTTGTGTAATAATGCCATATTTCAGCATAGGTTTACTGTGTATAATGATAAATAAGAATCATGTAATCTTCGGTTATTATGTAGTTTTTTCTTAATTTCGGAAAGTTATTTTTACCCGTGATGATATATTTAGAATTTTAAAATTTCATGCAGATGATATGTGTTTAGGGTGTGGTCTTATTTATCAAAAAAAGAAATCCATTTGT